ACTTCTCATCGTGACTGGGAGGTGTTCCTGGGTGTCGGACTGCGATGTAGAGCGGGGGATTCATCCCCTGGCAGGATCTCCTAAGCTGAGAAGGAGTCCGGCGTTTCCATGAGGAAGCCCATTTAAGAGTGAAGCAATACTAGGATCCACCACCGTCCTGGTATCGAACTAGTAACATGGTGACAAATTCTCTGTGATCCACAAGGGCGGCGACTGCCTGTGGTGGTGACGACCTGCGGCAGACTTTGGCTTTGCTGACCTCGGGACTCCAGGGAACCATAATCGCTTAGCCAGCAAATCTGCGAAAAATGGAGATCATGCTGGAGTCTGCACAACTAGTGAGGACGGGCCATTCAAATATCAAGTATCAAGTACATGATACGTCACAAATCTTGCTAGTGGAACTTGGCGAACCTGACAAAATTGTCGGCAATCAGACGGCATGTCCTTTTGCATGTCGTCATTCAAATTGTTTCATGAGGAATGTTCAAACGTACCATCGAAAAAGAAAACTTAGGTATAACCCAAGGTACTCCTATTTAGGCGAAATGAAACAGTCAATTCATCCTGGTACTGAAGTATTCGTGTTTTCTAGTTGCATTGGCATAGTTCATTGCGTGATTCTCCTCCATTAACTCTCGAGTCACTTTCGACGTTACTGCCCTCTATACGAACGAGTCGAATGACTCTGCTATGCAAGCCATCCGCGAGCTCCTTATACAACACGAAGGAGCAATAAACATGTACGGCTTCTCGATTCAGCAGTTGATGGCACTATTTATTTATATGATCTTATAAACGATCTTCTTAAGGTGACGCGAGGTTGGTACAAGTCTTCGTTGTCGTTGTCGTTGTTGTTTATGTTGTTGGTCGATGGCTGATGTTTCGCCGACTTCGCCTTCCTCAGAGCCTGGACGTATCTTATATTAGAATATTTTTATTATTCGGTGGAAAGAAGGTTAAAGTATTAACGAAGATCAAACTTTCAAATAGACGCTATATTGAACAGAAAGGCCACTCACCGTGATGTTACTTGTGGAACTGTCCCACACCTAGTTCACGTGGGGTCGCGAGCAAAACACACCCCGAGGGCAAAATATCATTTTGAAATAGGGCGCCAGGTCACGCGTGATAGTGAGATATTCGTCCTTCCGGTTCATCTTTGGATTTTTGAAATTTATCCAAAACGCCTCAAGAGTTTCGCGCGTTGGTGTTTTTGATTCCTGCCCTAGGATCCGCACATTCACTTCAAAATCATCGCCGTTGTGCTTTTGTGCCCTATGCGACCTAGAGGGGTGTTTAAACGGATTTTAGCTTTTCCACCTAGATGTTCTTTTATGCGGACACAAAGTGGTCTACCCGTTTCCCTAATATATTCCTCGTCGCATGGGTTACATGAGATCAAGTATATTATACTTGAACTCGTGCAATCCCCGTCTCTCCCGTTAGGTCAGATCATACAGTTTTCTGAGCTGCACAAGCGATCACAGAGACGGTTTCGAACTAACTGACAGCGTAGGGTATCGGGAGGGATGGAGTGACTTACTTCATTTGATATGAAGAGTAGCTTAAAGGGGATCTTACTTAGGTCTGAAACATTATTTTGGAAACGTTTTTGTCTAACCCGAGTGGCTTTTACTTCGTAGCCATTGGAATTGGCTATTTTTCGTGCCAGGTTTTGCGATTCCTTTCTTTCCTCCTCTCCTGCACACACATTTTTATCGGTACGGTACATGCTTTTGATAAGTGCTTTTTTATGTGTGAAGGATGAAAGGAGAGGCAGTGAACTAGAATGTTTTTACTACTTGTCTTGCGATACCACTTTGTTATGTAGCCACTTTCTGAGAGCTTTATTTGGATGTTTAAGAATGGAAGCCAGTTCTCGGTTGGTTTTTCTCGTATTAGAGAAAAGCACAACGGCGATGATTTTGAAGTGAATGTGCGGATCCTAGCGCAGGAATCAAAAACATCAACGCGCAAAACTCTTGAGGCGTTTTGGATAAATTTCAAAAATCCAAGGATGAACCGGAAGGACGAATGCCTCACTGTCACGCGTGACCTGGCGCCCTATTTCAAAATGATATTTTGACCTCAGGGTATATTTTGCTCGCGAGTCCACGTGAACTACGTGTGGGACAGTCCCACAGGTAACATCACGGTGAATGGCCTTTCTGTTCAATATAGCGTCTATTTGAAAGTTTGATCTTCATTAATACTTTAACCTTTTTTCCACGGAATAATAAAAATATTCTAATATAAAATACGTCCATGCTCTGAAGAAGGCGAAGTCGCCGAAACGTTAGCCATCGACCAACAACATCAACATCAACGACAACGACAACGACAACGAAGACCTGTACCAACCTCGCGTCAGCTTGAGAAGATCAGTTTATAAGATCATATAAATAAATGTATCAACTATCTATGCCGAGGTTTATAGAAAGTCGGTCTTTCGAGTTGATGACACTCTTAAAGGAGTGCCTAAACTGCTCAATCTTCAAATGATCCGGGAGGTACTACGCACAACTGAGAGAGCTGGCAATGAGACAACCACTGGCGCGAAGCCATGCCATTGCATTCATGTCTAAGCTGGAAACGCCACTAATCGACCTCGGTCCGTTACTCTACTGTAGATATATAGATGACTGCTTGGTCATTTGTTCAACACAAGAAGAAATTGACAGATGTTTCGAGAGTTGTTGAACGAACAGTCAGAGTATATTAAATTCACCCGAGAAAAACCGAAAGAAAACTGGCTCCCATTTCTGAACGTCCAAATAAACCTATCAGAAAACGGCTACATTACAAAGTGGTATAGAACGCCAAGTAGTAAAAACATCTTGGTTCATTACCTCTCCTCTCATCCCTCTCACACAAAAAGGGCGTTTGTGAAAAACATATTTCGAACAGCTACCAGCTTGTGCACAGAAAGAGAGCAGAGCGAGAGGAGTCCCGGAACTTGGTACGGCAAATAGCCATTTTAATGGCTACGAAACCGTAGCTCCAAATAGGTGTAGAGGAAACCACAGGTACCCCAACGATAATTCTAGCGACAATAAGCTCTCGTTTATACTGCCCTTCATTTCAAATGAAGTAAGTACAGCTATAAAACGCTGTTTAAGAACGGCTGGTCTTGAGAATTCGGTAACGATAATTGGAATACCACCGAGTAATCTAAGGCGCCAGCTAGCCCGTAATCGCCTATACGACCATCTATGTGCAACTCAAAATTGCATAATTTGCCCCAGTGGTAGAGACGGTGATTGCGTGAGCTCGGGTACAGTTTATCTGATCTCCTGTAAGGCGTGCGGAGACGAATACAATGGCGAAACGGAAGACCATTCTGTGTCTGAATAAAAGAATACCTAGTCGGCAAACGTAAACCAAAGCCCCATTAGGCACGTATAAAACCGAGAGACATAACGGGGAGGACTTTGAAGTATGTGTCACGATCCTCGCACAAGAATCGAGAACACAAGCGCGCAAAACTCTAGAGGCATTCTGGATTAATTCCAGAAATCCGAAAATGAACCGCAAGGAGGAATGCCTCATTATCACGCCTGATATTGGACAGTATATAAACTTGTTATTTCGATGGGAGGGGCACATTACGCTTCCATGTGAATTTTGTGCGGTCGGTCTTCACACGACATACTCAGTGGAAGGCTCATAGAAAGCGGTGAGTGTGCAGAGCTGTGTTAAATGTGATTAAAATCTTGTTTTAGCGTTTTCTCTGTTTGGTTATGGAGGTGTTTGGCCTTGTAGTTTGTAGTTAACTTGACCTTTCCAGGCTCTGGGGAAGAGGAAGTTCGCCGAAACGTCAGCTTGTACGTAAATAAAGAAATAAAGTAATACCTCGTGTTTGCTAAACAGAAGTAGAAAGAATTATTCTCCTCCATTAGTTCAGATACTGGATCATTATCTGATTTTTTACTTCGTAATATTACCAGAGCCGCTTGGATTAACCACCTTCGACAGTTTTTTCCGATGGCAGTAAGCTGTACCACGAGATACTACCTGTAACAGCGGTACTCACTGACGACGCTGCGCCTACTACGTCTTCTGAATCATTTTAAAAATAACAAAACCATTATGTTCAACTTTTTATCCATTGTTTTTTCACGGCGCGCTGTTATGAGGAGTAGAACCACAGTGATGTTGAAATATCTGCAAAACGTGGACACCAGCCTAAATTCGAACCTGCGGTTACCCTTTCCGGTGGCTCACATGTTACCCTCTGCACCGCGGAGACCCTTGTTTTGCTTTTCTCGTAGCCACTTTCACATAGTGAATGAAAAGTTAAGCATTGTGGTTTCGACTACAGCCTCAGCTTAACTGGGTTCAGTGTCGATTTTTGATCCCCAGTTCATTCCCGTTGCCAGGTGACCGCTGATGGCACCGTTAGGGTAAAAAACTGGTCGGGAGAAGGTCAAACTAAGAGCCTCAATAGGGTAGTGGGTAACTCATAAGACCGCGCAAAGGGTGACGATTCCAATCTGTCCTGAGGCCCAAATTTCGCTATCTCAGCATCAGTGTTGCTGATAACACCATAATTTGCCGTTGCATGGCGCTCATCGAAACAGGGTGTTTTTTAAAGGAAGACCCAATTTCGTTGGGTTTTGTGGTCATAACGACGTCATCGAGACCACGCATTCTTAAGGTTTTTTGTTTGTTCATGGGAGTTTCCAGTGATGCCTAGAAATAGAAAGGTCAAAGAACGAAAACATCCATTTCATTTGTTCGCTTGTTAGTAAGCAACAGTGGGTGGTGGTTGTCGTTGTTCTAACACACCTTCCAAAGGAATATGGAACAGCCCATTGTAAGCAAAGCCTTACACATCTTACGTTGTGAAGTGAAGCTCTTTGACTTCTCTTGGTCTAATTGAGAAGTGATTTTACCTTGAGTCTTCCGAATTTGTAAATGTTTGAAAATTTTGCACTATACAACAGAAATAACGTTTTGAAACATTCGACAAGCGCATGCAGTTGTTTTTATACCATTCATGGTATCAATGCCATAAGAGTCATATCGATATCTGCTTCACTGAGAGGTGGAGTATAGACTGATGTGCCCATTTGAGCCGTCTTGTCGTTGGAATGCATCTGGATATCTAAAAACAGGTGGTGAGACAAAATACTGTCATGATTCCTTTTAAGGAATCTTTCTTTTGATGAGCGGTTTAATTTTCGCACCTACTCCGTTGCACCTAGCAACTTCACCCGGACATACCTAATAGAATTGTCTGATGAATAGAGCGTGAACTTATTAATATTGATGCGCACAGGATATTTAGAGTTGAGTGGTACTTCGTGAAGTTCTGCATCGCAGACGTGAATGCAATATCTTCCTAAAGGTCTACCGCCTCATCGTGGCTGGAAGGTTTTCCTGGGTATCGGGCTGCGATGTACAGCGGGAGATTTGTCTCCTCGGCAGGCTCTCCATAAGCTGAGAAAGACTCCGGTGTTTCCATCAGGAAACCTAGCTAAGAGTAAATTAGTACTAGGATCCACCACCGTCTTTTTAGCAAGCTAGTCGCATGGCAGAAAGTCTCCTTCTGATCCACAAGGAACGCGAGCGCTTGCGGCGATGGAGACCTGGGACAGACCTTGGCCAGGCTGACCTGAGGACTTCGAGGACATACAATGGCTTAATCAGCAAATCTTCAAAAAATGGAGATTGTACTGGGGACCGCACCACCAGTGAGGATGGCCCATTCAAGAACCAAGTAAGTTCTCAATGCAAGTGGAAAAGCAACGGGCACGGTTTGCCTCCATTTTCTTCGAAAACAACAAAATTTCAGAAAAGGTTCATTTTAATATGGTGGTTTTCTCTCCATGTAGCAACTTTCCATGGAAAGTAAAAAGGAACTGAAGCGAATTTCATCCTCCTCATCGCTGTATGATTTGCTTATTATCTGCGAGCTGTCGTTTATGCACACCGTAGAAATCTTTCTAGTATCACAAGGTGCTAATGTGATGTGGCATAAAACGGATAATGTGCATTCTCAACTATTATAAGCCCCCTGGATTGGCCGGTACTAGTTAAATGAGAGTCATTTTCTTTTTGATGATTTCATTCTTCCGCGGAACAACCTTTTCCTACAATTACAACGATTAATCGATTGCTCGCCCGACATGTATGTTGTGGCGGGTCGCGCCCGGAGGAGGCTCTATTTCGAACTTAAAATATACGTGAAAACTCCCTCTCAAACGAAAACATTAGCTGGCAATTTTATAGGCAATCAATTGTTATTTTAATTGCAATCAATATAATGAATCATGGTTATTGCATGGAATGTATTGGTGTTGAAAAGACTAAAGTAGGCAGAGCATAAGTTGCAAAAATTTTCCATCTGTTAACGGTAGTGTGCCTGTATAATGGACTACAATAATAAGTATTAAATAACCATCGCTCATTGTCGAATACTGAAAAAACCATTTATTTTTAGGAAACAGGTAAAACTCGTAAGAACGAAAAATAACGCACTGTCCCAAGCGGAAGGGATTCTAAAGACAGCGAGAACGCTGTGTTGAGGGACGGTGACCTTTCTTTTCAGAAAGAATAACTTTGTCCCACTTACCATAAATGACTTCGTCCACATCTTCAAGAGCTATTTGCAAATCCGTCTCTTGAATACCTGTAAAAAGTGTACGAAGTAAGTTGAGTGAGTTGTACTTCGTGTGTAAGTTTTTTCTTAGGGTAATCCACTAGTATCCTATTTGCTCGATACTCGATACTTGAACGGCCAGTCGTCATTGGTTGTGTGGGCACGAGAATAATCTCCATTTTCGGAGATTTGCTGGTTAAGCTACTGTGGTTCGCTGAAATGCTGAGATCAGCCTGGCCAAAGTCTACCCCAGGTCTTCACCACCACAGTCGCAGTCCTTGTGGATCAGGAGATTTGCCACCATGCGACTTTGATACTAGGGCAGTGGTGGATCCTGGTATTGGTTTACGCTTAGAGAGTCTTCCTGATGGAAACACCAGACTCAATCTCTGCATGAAAGTCTCTGCCAGGGGATGAACCTCCACTGTACATCGCAGTACCACTCCCAAGCACACTTCACAGCCCCGATGAGGCGGTAAACCGTTGGGAGGAGTAAGTATCCTACTAACAAAACAAAATGGATCTCCAACTGACAAATTTTTGAGAATTACTCTGGTGCTAAACGGTTGGCACTATACATTCGTGCACATAATTTTCATTGCCGTACGCCCTTATCCCTTTTTCTATGTCTCTGCTTTGTACGAAGCCAACTGGAGAAACTATGTTTGCGCCTGGTTGATCTGTAGTCGCATTGAAGTGTTTTAAAACGGCGTTGCGTACCCATAAAAAAGGCTACAAAATCACTTAGGCTAGCAGGTAAGCAACAAATATAGATTTATTTATAGATCGTATAAACTGAACTTCTTAAGCTCATGCGAGGTTGGTACAGGTACTCGTTGTCGTTGTGGTTGTTTTTGATGTTGTTGGTAGATCGCTGACATTTCGGCGACTTCGCCTTTCACAAAGCCTCAAACTTGGGTAATTAAACTTGGTTAACTTGGTTTAATCTTCTTAGTTTGAGGCTTTGAGAGAGGCGAAGTCGCCGAAACGTCAGCCATCAACCAACAACGACAACAAAAACGAAGACCTGTACCAACCTCACATCATCTTAAGAAGATCAGTTTGTAAGATCTATAAATAAATGTATCGACTATCTACGCCGAGGTTTATAGAAAGTCGGTCTTTCGAGTTATTATAGAGAGATTGTTCGCAGATTTGCTCACTTGGACTACTTATCCCAACTGTGCTCATTTTATCGGATTCCGTCGACGAATATGCAGACGCAGAGGTCGCTGGCATCTCCTTGTCACCTGAGGGTACGTCACAATAGTAGACTGAACAAGAACAGATCCATATTTGTCGTCACCGACAACAGTTCTCCGAGCCGTACTCCATGTGACGCCTTTATTAGTTCTTAAACAAGTAATGTTTGTTTCTCCCATAGCTTTTATACCTCACAGAATGATATCGTAGTTATATCAGTATGCTCTGTGGTATCATTTAAGTGATGTTGATGTCATTTATACTAGTGTTCTCAGTGCACCTATCAGAAGGTAAATGAGCTGATGTTATTGCAAATACGTCCCACTTAAATATGTTGGGTGAAAATCCTGATCCCATAATCATTAACTCGTTGTGTATTGAAAGTTATGTAGGCGTGGTATTCATTTAAAATCTACATGACCATCAACCGGAAGTTGTTTTTTAAGCGTTGTTATTTCTTTTTCAGACGCTTCTGTAGCAAATCATTGAACAATGGTAGTACCAGTTTTTGGATTCAGCACTGTGGTGAGTATACTTAGGTCTCTTAGGTCTGAATAGTTAGAGATCTTTCTATCATAATAATTCAAAAAGCCAACTGTCATTTGAACGCAAGCAACGTGTATGCTAGAAATGCGTACAATCACCTGTAACGATGGTTGATGATATCGAATGTATAAACCTCCCCTAGCGATTGATCAGAGGCGAACGCCTGATCCATCGTCCTTACGTGAAAGGCGAAAAATGACTTTGTTTATACAGTGAAGCAGATTAATCGTTGAACACCTTTTATCAATGTTAAACGGTCCCATGTACAAAGGAAAAACGAAAACCACGTGAATGTTGTGACGATTCTCCATGAATGAGCTTTAACAGTTCATCCACTTTCGTATTGCGTAGTGTGTTGTACTATAGTATATTGTTATGTTGTGCTACAGCGTTCCACTCTTCGACCCAACGAAATATGGCTAGAATAGGAGAAACTTTTCCATATTCGCTTGAAAATCATAGCTGACGATGAAGTATTGAATATTGAAGTTGAAACTAACTTTAGCCTAGGAAGAGAGAATCTCGTTGTCAAATTAGTGGCTTGTGTCGTTAACGGAGAGCACTTGTGTTCTGACTATTCAAAATTGGAATACAATTTGTTAGAGAGTAATGGCGAAGGCACCAATGAAATATTCGGAAATCACGATCTTCCTGGAGTGTTTGTGCTGCAGTTTATAAAATAAATCTTCTTGTACCCCTTTAGTCGTAATGAGCCTTCAGATATTCTTTTCTCAAGTTCTGCTCAATAAGACGACGCACACTGTGGCTAGACGATTAAATCCCCCAGTGTCTTTTCTGAGGGAAACCGATTCACAGGAGTCATTTACTCTTTATGATGGCCACATAGCAAAGCCGTAGTTCTGTTATGTCTTGAATCCAGAAAAAATGTCATTCTTTAGTAATTATTTCATTCTATTAATAAGGTAGAGCATTCCAGGTGTTCGAAGCTTAGTTCTCACAGCATCGCCCGACGTCGGAGAGTTAATAGACGAGATCTTTGGAGGATGCAAGCAGTCAACTGATATATTGGTGTGGCCCTTTCATTTAGTGCATGCGATATAGAACACATCCAAACAACACTACGATGGAGTCGAACACATGAGGCGCCCGCCTCTGAGAAACTGTTGAGCAACCAATGCTCTTACACCTTACGTTTTTCGAGCAGTTATGAAGCTGCCCTAAATAAATATGGCGCCCATTTTAACGTCGGCTGAGGAAAACTAGTTAAGGTGGACAAAGAATTGAAAGTCAGAAATGAGAGTATGATGAGAATGATATGAATGCTAGGAAACTGTTAGACAATTCTGGTATAAGCGCCAAAATCGCGGTCAGATGTATTTGATATGAAACGGGAAACTTTTGTGAGGTATGGCTGACGATAACCTGATTAACAGTTTTTTCTGTCTCTGAGCAACGAGGTTAAGATGTTCGATTTTGCAAAAAAAAAGTATGTGGACACAGTGAATCGCTATGCGATCTGTTTGAATAATTGTGCCATTTTTTTAACATTCGATGATGCCATCAAGCTGATTAATGATATTTCAGTACCACATCCTGTGGCACGTACGGCGGAAAATCGGCAACCATATCTCCACGAGAACGACTTCCCCTTTAAGTGGGTCGGTCTCGAGTGCAATTGCATGCAGTTACACATGGTGACCATAGCAACTATTCCCAGAATAATCTTAACCTTTTCATTTACAGCCTATTCCTTTTAACGGCAGGGTACTTCTCGAAATATAACTATTGTAATGCTGAGATATTTGCAAAACTCCGGACCGCAGGTGTCTGAGGTAAGGAACGAACGCGTTATTGTCCTTTCCGAGGAGTAACGCGTTCACCACCACTGCATGCGGGCCCTTCGTTTCGCCTGTCTCTCAGCTAGTTCTATCTATCTTTTGCCATCAGCAATCATAAGAAATAAAAAGGTTAAGAACTCGAATCACCGATTTTCTATAAACCTCGGCATAGATAGTTGATATATTTATTTATGTGATCTTATAAACTGATCTTCTTAAGCTGGTGCGAGGTTGGTACAGATCTTCGTTGTCGTTGTCGTTGTTTTTGATGTTATTGATCGATGGCTGACTTCGCCTTCCTCAGAGCCTGGACGTACTTTATGTTAGAATACTTTTTATTATTCGGTGGAAAAGAAGGTTAAAGTATTAATGAAGATCAAACTTTCAAATTTTCAAATAGACGCTATATTGAACAGAAAGACCACTTACCGTGATGTTACGTGCGGGACTGGCCCACACGTAGTTCACGTGGAGTCGCGAGCAAGACACGCCCCGGGGTCAAAATATCATTTTGAAATAGGGTGCCAGGTCACGCGTGATAGTGAGGCATTCGTCCTTCCGGTTCATCTTTGGATTTTTGAAATTTATCCAAAACGCCTGAAGAGTTTCGCGCGTTGGTGTTTTTGATTCCTGCGCTAGGATCCGCACATTCACTTCAAAATAACCGCCGTTGTGCTTTTGTGCCTTATGCGCACCTAGAGGGATGCTTAAACGGATTTTAGCTTTTCCATCTAGATGTTCTTTTATGCGGACACAAAGTGGTCTACCCGTTTCCCCGATATAATCCTCGCCGCATGCACTACATGAAATCAAGTATATTATACCTAAACTCATGCAATCTCCGTCTCTCCCGTTAGGACAGATTATACAGTTTTCTGAGCTGCACAAACGATCATAGAGACGGTTTCGATCTAACCGGAGGCGTAGGGTATTGGGAGGGATGTAAATAATCGTTACTCAATTTTCAAGACCACTTTTTCTTAAGCACTTTTTAATGGCGTGACTTACTTCATTCGAGATGAAGGGCAGCTTAAAGGAAAACCTACTTTCGTCTGAAACATTATTTTGGGAAACTACCCAACGTTTTCCTCTAAACCGAGTGGCTTCTACTTCGTAGCCATTGGAAATGGCAATTTTTCGTGCCAGGTTACGCGATTCCTTCCTTTCCTCTGTACACACATTTTTAGCCGTACGATACATATTTTTGATAAGCGCTTTTTTCATTTGTGAAGGATGAGAGGAGAGGCAGTGAACTAGAATGTTTTTACTACTTGGCTTGCAATACCATTTTGCTACATAGCCACTTACTGAGAGCTTTATTTGGATGTTTAAGAATGGAAGCCAGTTCTTGGTAGGTTTTTCTCGTGTAATTTTATATTCTGTGACTGTTGGTTTAATAATTCAAAGCACTCATCCATCTGTTCTTGTGTGGAACAGTCGATGAAGTAGTCGTCTATGTATCGACAGTAGAGTAAGGGTCGGTGATCGAGAACTGGAGCTTCTACCTTAGACATGAAAGCGATGGCAAGGCTTGGTGCTAAACGCTGCCACATCGCCAACCCTCTAATTTGTGCAAAATATTTTCCAGACCACCTAAAGATTGAACGACTAAGAAACTGTTTTAAGAGGGTCATTAGTTGCGCAATCGACAAGCCGTGCATTTTTATTTTCTTTTCATGCTCTACGAGCAACTCGAGAATGGCTGGCATTGCGGAGTCATTGGACACTTTGGTATAAAGTGAACTGAAATCGAATGACTCCATTATATGCGTGCTGTTTGGTTGCGCGCGCCTTAGGTGATCTAGAAATATTTTGGTGTTAGGTAGATGGGTTGGAATGAATTTTAGCAGCTGGGTTAGGATAAGGTTTGGGAACCACGTTATTCTATTCGTTGGCCCACCTTTACAACTGATGATAGGTCTAACTTTATATGATGATGGGTTCGTTGACGTAATATCATCGGCTGAAGTAAGCTTATGTGTTTTAATAAGTAAGTAAAGGACCGGGCAAATCGGGTGTTCATTCTCAAGTCGAGAAATAACTGAAGGCTCTAAACCCGCGGCCTTTGCCGTGCTGACCTATTCTTGATTCAATTTTCGGTATTCATTTCTGTATTCCTTTTCAGAGGATGTTCGATAGAGAGAAACAGGTACTCCTCTGTTATCCTAATATCCAACTGACTAGGAAGAACTACAAGTTTTCTGCACTTAACACTAATAGAAAGTCTAGTAGATTTTGAATTCAAAAGCTCTGTAACCTGGCGCATACCACTTTTTTGTTGGTTTGTGAGGTTGGAGCTTCTTTTTCGTTTTTGGTAGTGATTAAGTATGCGGAGAATTTCGTCCGAAAATAAACGAAATGTAGGGTCAATATAGCTGTTTGGTAGCTCTTGTTTAAAGAAGGTTCGAGGGAAGAGTATTGGTGGTAGTTCCCCCTTTGATACTACTTTACCTAACCTTTCTAGCCTAACCCTGTAACGTAGTTGATCTTGACGTTCATGTAGACTACACGTGATTCTGCGCAGGATTGGTTTAGAAATGGGTTGACTAGGTGCAAAACTCAGACCCAATTCTAACAAGGAACGCACATTTTCCGGAAGCGTTATACCTCCTAGCACAGTAACTCTGGATGTTTTTGTTGCGCAGTCTATTTTAGGGCTTTTACTTGGCACTTGACCAGCGGTGGTCCTTT